CTGAGACAATTAACTTAGAAAGGATTTATTCTCAGTTTTGCAAGTTTTAGTCCACGACTGGGCGGCCCTGCGGCCTGTGGAGAAACAGCACAGCATGGAGAAGCACGTGGCAAAGCACGTCCTTGCAGGGGACCGTAGGATGCCAGTCCTTTCTCCTCACGTGCTTCCTGGCCATGAGGGGGACAATTTCGCTTGGAGTGATGCTACCACTGCCAAGGGCTACCTGGGGCTGCCACAAGCTGCGGGAGGCAAGGAGAGACCTGCCTTTGGAGCGTCTGCGCTGCCTACACCTCGGTTCCAGACTTCTAGAACTGTAAGATAAGTCATTTGTTACGGCAGCCTTAAGAAATGTGTGCCTCCTCGCATGTACACTGCAGTTATACGCTCAGGAGCCAGGTGCATGTGGATCGATTCTGATCACGTCCAGAACCCTTAATGTGCAGAGCTGAGGAAGGCTGCCGTCAGGGCTGGTGAGGTCACCTAGGAAATACGGCTCTGGTACTCTCCCTTGGCCCCAGGTGCCATGTGGCTATCTTTCGTTTTTTTGGTCCTTTGGAGAAGGATTTCATGCAGACAAGAGCACAGATAACAAAATCAGCCGTGTGGGCCAGGGATATAGCTCAAGTGCACCGCATCTGCGTGGCACGCTCAAGGTCCAGAGTTCAATTTCTGGTACCAAAAACACCAAAAAACACACAAAAAAACCCCAACCAATTCTGCATATAGTTCTTAGCTGGAGCAATATGGAAATCACTTTCAGTTGTTTACTCTTTTCTTTTTTTGGTTTTTTGATATAGGGTCTTGTCATTCAGGCTGGTCCTGAACTAACTACATAGTCCAGGCTGGCCTCAGACCAGCAGCAATCCTCCTGCCTCAGCCTCTCGAGTACTGAGATTACAGGCGTGTGCCACCACGCCTCGCATTTCAGTTGTTTATTCTTCATTTTTTTTGGCGGGGGAACAGGGTCTTACTGTGTAGTAGGTTGGCCTTAAATTCTCTTATGTAGCCCAGGCTGGCCTTGAACTCATGGGGATCCTCCTGCCTCAGCCTCCCAAGTGCTGGGACTACAGATATGCGCCACCACACCTGGCAGTTGTTTATTCTTATATCAAAGTGAGTGTGTCAGATGCTCTACTTGCATTGCAAATGATAATACATTGCTTAATAAATTTAAAAGGCCCCAAAGCTGCTAGCCTAGTAGAAACTGGTTCTCTGCCCACAGCCCTGCTCATCTGCAGCGTGGTGGGCAGCAAGGACGTTCTGTTTTGGGTTCGGCACTGTTAGTAATCACAAACTCTTGACGTTTAAACATGCTGTGTATAATTCACATTTAATTCTTTTTTTTATACTAGAGATTTTTATTTTTTAGATAGATTTTTATTTCAAACCACAAGTCATAACTCCTTGCAGCAACATGTAAAACCGTAGGAGATACTATTTTACTTCACTGTTTTGAAGCGCTAAATCTAAGCTGCACAGCATTCCCTAACCCATAGAGCTGTTTAAGGAAAACTGTCCCTGAGACGCTGGGCAAACAGCTCAGAGTGCCCACTGCCCCTTCATTCACACTTGGAGGGGAGCTGTATCTACAAAGTTGTCAATGCTCTTGCAAATGCCAGTTGTAACTGAGCTGCCTCTACTGCGGCTCACATTTCCCATGTCCTTTGCTGTAGAAAACTGCCCTTAAAGGGATGCCGGGATGTGCACCACAGATCCTTACCCCTGCCTCCTTTCCTTCTGGGGGAGGGATTGCTGGGAGCTCCACAGGGTGCTGGGGGTGAGCTCAGCAGATGTGTGGGTGCTGGACAGGCACAGCCCATCCTGTGGGGAGGGATCCTGAGGGCGGGGATCATGCAGCTTGGAAGCCTCACTAAAGATCTTAGTGTGGGTGCAGGGCATGTGCAGGGTGGGGTGCGAGCACAGGAACTCCTCAAGTTATACGGGCCTTTGGGGCTGGAGGCCTTGGAATCTGGGTCTCAACTCACTTGGCATCCAGTGTTCTGTTCTGACTCCCATCTGAGGGTTTGGAGGTACACACTGTGCTATATACCATTTATTTCTTACTATCCATGCTGCACAGGGGACTGACGGTGGCCTGCTGATGGTCTGACCTACTTTAAAAATCTTCTAATTACGTAGCTGTTAACATTTAAACATTCTGAAAATTGGAGCTGGAGGTGTAGCTCAGCAATGAAGTGCTTGCCTACTGTGCCTCAGGCCCTGGTTCAATGCCCAGAAACGAAAAATAAAATTCTGAGATTTCACCCCTAACTCCACATTTCTGCTCTTGTTGGAAAACTCAGGCCACGCCCACGCCTCACTTCAGGTGCCCCCAGCAATCCCAGGTCCACCGCGGCCTGGTTCAACTGTTCTATGCATTTACTTTTCAGCCCTGAAGGGCAGGGGTGGAGCTAAAGCTCAAGCACAAACGAAATTCCAGCTGTCTGCTATAGAATCTCCTCCAAACATTTTTTCCTGGAGACAAGCACCTTTCTTAGGCTCCAACTTGTGCTGCTCAGTAGGTACACTACTGTCAAGAGAGCAGACCTGGGGGTGTCCTGCAGTTACCAAGTCCATCAGCTTGGAAGGCCGGAGAACCACCCGCGGGGGCCCAGGCACACACTGCTTTTGGGATTGGGCGATCCCTTTCAGGACGGTGAAACAAAAATCATTGTCAACGCACTCACTGCGGCTGTGGACGTCTCTCTCCTAGGCATCGAGGTCCCTGGTCAAGAGCATTATTACTCTTTGGAAACCGTTTCTGGGCTTTTCGGGGAAAAAAAAAACAAAAAAAAAAACCCAAAAAAAACCAACCCAACAACAAAAAACCACAAAAACAAACAAAACAAACCCAAACAAACAAATAAAACGAGCGAAAAAAAACTACCGTGTCCAGTAACACCACCTTTCGAATAAAGCACCACGATTTACAGAGACAGAACGTCACTCCAGCTATTGCCATAGGGAAGGTCCTTGCGAACCGTAGGTAAGCGACGACCCCCTCCTCCCGCAAGGATAACAGAAAACTGCTTCCGGGTGCGGCGGCCGCGTTCCCGGGCTCGATCGCGCGCCCGGTGAGCTCGGCCTCTCACCCACCGTGCTAAGTCGAGGCGCTGGCGGTCGTCCTGGCGGCGTCCTCTGCGCGCCGCGCGGCGGGAGGCCGGCGCGGAGGGGACCGCG